AAAGAGCCCCTGCGGTCCTTGGTGTTGGATCATTTCGTTCGTAATGCCTGACACACCAGCTGCCTTGTTTTTGGGTGCATCCAGGACCACAGCTGAAAACTCATTTCTGCTTGGTGGATCCATCAGACCGTCGTACCATTCACTCTTGATCCACCTCTGAGGGCTATATTGCTTCTGCCATCTCGAACCCGGCTCTAGCGGTTTTGACGGCCTAGGTCCGTGCCACTTGTCGAACCATGCCCGTACCTTCTCTTTAACTTGCTGTGGCTCTAGACTATTCACTGTGACACCGCCTTCGTCGTCCTGAATCCGGTCTATTGTCACTTTACCTCCACCACGTCCCAGCACTTTGTCTATCATTTTCCCTGTTGCCGACTTCAACTCTCCACAGCGTTTCTCTATCAGGCCATTCATCGTCCTTGTCTTTTCCAGCTTCCTTGTCGCCTGTAAAAATGATATTGACTCTGCCCATCTGTGCTTTACTCCTTTTACCCAATCTTTCCATACATCGTCGCTATCCTTCGTGTCCGGTATAGTAGTGAGGCCTTCGATCTCCCCTTGTCCTTGCAGCCTCAACCACTCAGCATTCTTATTGAATTTTTTCTGCTGCTCTACCAGTGTTGTCCATCTTGCGTCTCTTTGTACTGTTGATAATCCTCTGCGGGTTTGATTTGCCAATTTTTTAATTTTAGCGAGATCACGTATGAGGTGGCGGAGACACAATTCTTGTTCTGGCTTCACTCCAGACCGACCAACCACTCTTCCTGGCAAGTTTTCTTTGGCGCTTTCTATGAGCAGCTTTGAATACCATTTCCATGCAAGGTCAATGTCGATTCTTTGAAGGTCTTCTGGCGTCAAGAGATCCTTTTCATCGTCGTTCTGGGCTCTCCGTAGGCCCATTGTAGAAGATTCACTGCCGTCTCCAATTCTTATATTCACACCGTTCTCAAAATTCTCCCAATCGTCGTTGCTGGCATCGCGAAGTAAGAATTTGTAGCCCTTGGGTTTTTTGTAAATGATGTGATGAAGTGGTTGTTGAATAAGGCGGTGCAGTGTCATTTCTAGAGTGACCATTTTGTGGTCTGACGCCACAATACCATCCAATGATTTGTGTTTGACCCTGAGAAGCCTATCCGTGAATACACTAGATACAAAGATCATGTCTATACGGCTCGTATTCTGGCAGGTATAGTCTTCACGAAGAGAGTGTTGAGCGCGGAAAACATCATGAAGTGGCTGCGTCTCCATCCATTAAAGTAGTGCCGATTCTGGTCTTATACTCGTTGCGTTCTCTCGTCGTCGATCGAGCCGGGGTTCCTAGTAGCATTGAAATCCCCAAGAATGATTATACCCCTCCCTTCTTCTCTCGCGTCGTTATATTCTTTTTGTATCCATTTAGTAATTACCTCTGCTTCATCTTCCCTTCCGCTTGGTAGGTAGCAGTTAATTACTCTGATTTTAAATCCCCCAGGAAAGTTGAAATCTCTCGCTTGGCCTCTGCTCCCACAAGATGAAGTTCTTGCAGCGTACTGGAACCAATGCTGAGCGATCAAAAGCCCAACCCCTGTTCCCTGTGTTGCACCTTCTTTACCACTCACCCACCACATTTTATATTTAGTTTGTTTCAAATTTCTTGCCATTTTACTCCCTCCAACATGCATGTTGGTTTCTTGGAGTGCTATCATATCTAAATCTTTCATATCACCATATTCACATAACGCTTCTATTTTCCCAGCTTCTAACGCACCCCGTATGTTAAATGATCCAAATTTAATAGCACTGCTATTAGATCTAGTACTGTCCTGTCTATTTTGAGTGCTTGCATTACTCATTATGGACTAGTGGTTTTGGCGGCAATCCACTTGAGGTTGATTTCTCTTCTTTTCTACTTTTTTTCCTTACTACCTGCTCCGTTTGCTATGAGAGCCATAATCCCTGCTAGGGACTCGTTAGTAGGAGGCATGCCTGGAAAAGCAGCTGACTTACCTTTGTTTTTGGGCACGTTCCTGTGGAACTCTCCACTCAGTCCTGCTGCCTTCAGGTGCTCGGCTGCGAAGTCCATTCCAAGATGTTGGCTCATCATTCCTATTAACATTTGGATTAGTAGACTGTTTTGAGCACGTAGTTGTTGTTGCTCTTCCTGTAGGCGTTCCACTGTATCTACCAGTTGCTGGATTTTCTTATCGACTGCACCAGTGTTGCTGTTCTTTCCTATGACGTTTGTTTGACCAGAACTTTGGGTATTGGTTTTTTCTTCCTGTGCCTTCTGTTGGTTGCTTTGAGTAACACTTCCACTCTTTCCCGTGGCGGCTTTGGCGTATGAGAGTTGTGGTACAACTTTCAGTGCTCCTCCCTTTTGGTATTCCTTGACAGCTTTGATGTGCTGCTTTGTCTCCTGGAGTGCAATGAATACCTCGCATTCCCTCATGATGTGTCCTGGTTTGTGGCATTGTCGGCATCGTTTGTCGTCCTTATCACCCCAGAAAGTCTCAATGCCCCCGATTTTGACTGGTTTAGTCATAGTTTCCGCCATTGCTTCTGCAGAGGGGAAATACACGAATGCTTCTCGTTGATATTGCCATTTCTTCCCCGTCTTTTGAAAAATAGCGTGGCACTTTGACGAAATTCGCTTGCTTTTCTCCAAGGAGAGGCTCCAAGTCCTTGTCTGTCGTTCCAAAAGGGAGACCTGAGATTTTTGCGACGTGTGTCAATGTCCACTCGACTCGTTCATTGCCGATTTGCGGATGCGCGCGAGTTCTTTTCCAATGAAGACGTGCTCCCGGTTGGCCAATTTGAATTTTGTGACGTCCTCAACATTGTTATAAACTACTGCTGCGGTGATCTTGACTCCCTTGGAGCATGGCGGGTTGCAATCTTTTCAATAGTACCGAACTGCAGCATTGCTGACTTGATAAGGAATTCCCGGAGTCCTAGGAGCAATACCATAAACCTCCACTGTGCGTTCCAGTTCACGTTCACGGGTGTCGGTATTCATTTCAAAAAACAATGGGACTTCGTGTTCATTTCCGTCTTCATCTTTGTGTGTAGCAGTCATTTCCAGGAGCGCTGTCAGGGATGGTTGATCCTCAACAGCAACACGGAAAGCAGTATATCCATTGACTTTGACCTTGTGTGGTCCTTCTGTGCAATAGATGGCAGCATCCAACAAGACTGTTTTCCAGGTCTTTCTTTTTTTCGGCAACCGTTGTTCCATAAAGGTCCTCGAGGAAGACGCCGGCCGCCTTCAGCCTATCCTTGGTGCGTCTCACTTCCTGCCATTCTGTGACTCCCACAGTGGCCATTGCGTCATCGTCTTCGTCCATTGCGTCCTGTTCTTGTGTAGCTGCACGCAAGCCATTTGCACCCAGGCTGCGGTTATACGAGGGACGGCTCTTAGAGCCCGTTCCCTCGTCAACGCGGCTCCCGCTCGCCTCTATGCCGCTTGCGGGACCGACTTCTTGGTTGTTGGGCTGTCTTTGAGATCCGATTCCGCTATTTGGATTTTTTTTTTTTTCCTGTTAACAAGAACCCACAGAGGTGAGGAATTTTTATTTCATAATCTCGCTCTAAAGTAATGATATCGCCCTCAACTATGAAACAAGCGAAACTCTCAAAGTTCGCACGGGATGGCTGTGAAGAGCCAATTCGTATCCATGTTTTTCTCTACCAATGTACACCGTGATCGGTACTCGAAGTCCATCCTTCCGATGTGGCCTGTTGCGCCCGTGAAAAGCTGCGGAGGCTGGCGTGCCGACTCTAGCTAAGGACGACTTTTTTAATTTTTTCTATTAGATCAAATCCACTGGCATGTGGACCCAAATCTTGCGGAATTGGTCTGAAATTTCTATTTTGGACTCCGTCAAACTTTGTGATCATCGCTGTCCTAGTCAAGTGGGTGGATGGGGGGATGTGCTGCCAGATGTACCGCTGGTTCGGCTGGGGGGTGGAATATATACCTAAGACATGTGGCCAGCCAGGCGACTTAGGGTAGTGCACCCACGATCTTAGCCTTAGCGGAGAACACTAGGCTGTCTCGGAGAGAAAGTATAAAAACTCAAGCAAATCCCTGACCTGGCACATGTTTGCTTCACTTTATGTGCCTTAACCAGGACTCGAACCCGGCCCCTGGGCTAGACAGGGGGGTGCCCTGACGAGTATACTACTCAGCCAATCCGATTCCGCTATTTGGAATGCGAGCTCTTTTCGAATGAGGGACATTTCTGTCCAAATTGGGTGGATCATGTTGCTGATTTTTTCCTAATGCAGGTTCCATGATGAGTGATGTCGTTGGCACTCTTGTGCGCTAACAGGGGGTGTGGAAGGGGTGTGTATAGAGAGGGAATGTGTAAATGTAGCGTATCCGATGGTGTACGGAGAAGAGTTTTGGTGCCCTGACGAGTATACTACCTAATGTATGGAAGCCACTATATCCAAACACAATACTACTGGATATAATGATAACACAAGGTAATTAGATTTTAAGGAGATCCAAAACTATGCGCAGGACACCTTGCCCGGCTAGCTCAATCGGTAGAGCATCAGACTTCTAATCTGAAGGTTGCGGGTTCGATCCCCGCGTTGGGCTAATACCTGTATCCGGTATGATATTTTTTTCTCTATTTTGAGAGCAAAAAGTATTCCTGGACACCCTGGACACGGAGTAACATGGTTCTTTTCTTGAATTGCAACTAAAGTCAAATCGATAGATAGGGCATATCTGCTACATCTGCAGTCACTCGTATGGTTCCTGTTGTTTGTCAGGGCACGAATAACATTACTTGATAATGAAACATCATTTGAATTGAGCTCTCTCATATGCAGTAAGTAGAACATTAAATATATATTTCTATTTTTTTTTTGGCATTCACTTCCTTTCGTCTCTCATTTCTCACCTTAGCTCTTAGACCAGTGCAGACAACCATTACGTTGCATGCTTGTAACTTTGTGCATCATCTTCCATTACAAGTACTGCCTCCTATCCTCGTCTACTTTCCACTGCGATGCATAATGGCTACTTAGGTGGTTGGCCTCCACGGGTCCCCACTTCGCCTGATACTACCACCATGTCCGATCCTTTAGCTGGACCACAGTCTTCTTGCACAACTTCCCTTGCTGGCCGTTCTCCTACTTCTATTTCTTCTTCTTCTAATAAAAATAACTTACCTAATCCAACGGATACAATCAACAGTCAACCAGATGGTATATGTTGTGTCCAGCAGAATTCTGGAACAGCTAAAGCTAAAGCTACGCTCCAGCCTACACCTACAGAAACCATTGAACCATCAATATCGGATACAGTACGGCCCCATGCTAAAAGGCAGCTCTCTCGGTCTTTCTCTGCAACTTTGATTAAAACTGATCCTATAACCTTGCGGAATACGGTATCAGGAGGCTTACTAAGTTCGCCCATCTCGGTCCCGCCTGGTGCATTCCACCCTTATTGCAGCGCCTCATTCTTACCAAGTACGATTCGCCCTCACGCACAATCAACACCGCCATCAGGTGGTATTACTACACCTTCCTCTGTAGATGCTATCGCGAGACATAACTTTGCATCAGGAACAATATCTGAAAGTCCTACTGTGCCTCCTGCTCTCTCTGGCAATAATAATGGCAGTCAAATGAAGAGATCACAGTCTCCGGAGCTTATGCGACCTCTTTATCATTCTTTTTCAAATGTGAGCATGATGCCGCCACCACGCTCTATATCTTTTGCGGGAACCTCTAGCCGACCTGTCTATTCATCAGTGCCGTTCGCTAAGTTACCTGCAGATATCAATAACAGCCCACCCCTGTTTACGACAAACACGCGAAAAGGTCAAATAGTAGGAAATAAAACACCTAAGAAAGGGATCAAAAACAGGTTTAGAAAGCTTCGAAGAAAACAAGGATCGAGTTCGCGTGATAATGGTGGAGTAAATGCCTTCATCACAAGTGGAGAAAGTGACTCGGAGGCTACATTTGGTAAGAATCACAAAGGTGTATGGATCTATGGATGTGGTTTTGAGAGAAGGGTTTGTGGAAATATGCAAGTATGAGTGGGAGTTTTATGTTTAAACAATTAGATCTTCCTAAACATAAGCTAAGGAAAGCATGATTGATGAATTTCCCTCTAGAACCTGAATCAGATCTCATATCTAATGTTGGAGGCATCACACATAGATTTCCATCAGCACCAGAAAGCAAAAAAGCCTCATTGTCTACACGCTCGAAACTAAAGTATACCGACTCTGGTCTCCCACCACAACTCCCACCACGAAACGGCCCCAGCAGCATTATAACTCACTTCAACAATGGGCAAGGCCCAGTAACGCAAGGTAAAGGCGGTAGCTTGTCTGGATCAGAGCAAGGGCACGAAAATAATAAAGCAGTACGTTTATTATTAAAGAGCGTGGGCTTCTCAAATCAGCATTCAACTGCGCCCCTCTCAACCGCACCATCTGCTCGAGATCTGCATGGGACTCAAAACGGTGTCATGAAACCAATACAAACTCGTAGTACATTCCCCTTATTTGGAGACTTCCTTTCGGGAGATGATCAACCCTCGACTTCCAAAGGCTTCAAGCTGAAGGGTTCAGGGCGGCGTAAGAGGCGCTTCACAAAAAAAACTCACTCTGTTGCCACCGGAATGTTTACTCCTTTCGCGACAGCTGCTACAGATGACGAAGACTCATCAACATCCCGGTCGAGCCGTCACCGTCACCATCATGGGTTTCTCCATAGCTTCCACCACCGCCATCGTAGTCGGTCTGTCGGAGAAGAAGTTCGCCATCAGATACCGGTGACCTGGTGCCTGGAAGCACTCATTTCGCCTGCACTAAAGGAAGCACGTCAGGCGAACCCAGATCCAAACTTGCTCTTGGTGGAATTAGAACCATTACCAACTAGCTTTGTCAATGCCTTTGCAACGCTATCCGCGTCCAAAACTCGTTTCCAATCGCAAACGTACCAACAGCAACATCATCCATATACTCAAATACAACAAGGCCCTTTGGCACCACATGTCATACCATTTTCTATCTACAGTACACCTATTGGTACGCTCACTAATTACGAGCCTCAATCAATGCCTCAGCAGTCGAGAGCGAATGGCCTGGACATCATAGGGACAAAATCTTTTCTTTTCAGATCTTATGAAAACTCAAAGTTCCAAGGATACTATATATTTCGAGTTCTGGGCAAAAATGTCGAATATAAAAAGCTATCCTTGAAATTGGAGCCTGCATGTGCACAATATTTTCGGGAGGCATATGTGACCTACCGTGCATTAGAGAAAAAAGCAAAAACATTAAGAGAAGAACAAGAACAGAGCCGGATTGCCTCTTTCTGGCCGAATGATGGAGGTCAAGATGATACGTCTGAACAACTAGAAACCGGAATTTTAAGCACTGCCCTCTCTAAGCCAACAAAAGAGTCTGTTCGACTGAGCGGCAGTGAACGAGACAAGCAAAATCTAGGAGAAAAGATCGTCAAATCTGCATTAGCTTGGGATCAGACGCGCATGACAAGCTCAGGAACCCTAAGTGAAAGTCCCATAGCTTCCCCTGTTGGGATATCTTCTGGACGGGCACTTGGGTATTTGGATCAGCGGTACAGCCCCATAAGCAGCAGTAATTTGTTTCTCAGAGGCATTGCAGGAACACCTGATCGGTCTAGAAGCGATCCTACAGAACACCATGAGCCACCATTTTCAGTCCGACAGATAAGTAATAACAACAACAATAATTTATCCAAGACAATACCGTACTCTGCACAGCTCCTCAGCAGGAAATGGTCGTGGACAAGCGTTAAGGAGCAGCAGCGACTGGAACAGCTACAGCTACAGACAGCCGAAATTGCCAAATGGAAAGAGATGGAGCGAAAATATCGCGAGGAATTTCGACAAGCAACATTTGGCCTGGAGCTCTATCTTGGTGAAATTGCCCGTGGGCTCGAATACGAAAAATTCGATACCGCAGTTGATGTGTCCATTATGAATGATAATCGTAAGTATTTTTTAATAATATAAAACACGACAAGCGATGGGTGTCCATGAAAATTCCTTAGCTGTTGACACCACATATAATTTCTTTCTTTTTTTTGTAATTTCATAGATGCCACAGCGATATTTTCTATGCTCAATGGTGATAGGACTAACATTATGTGCCTCGAGTCCCCTTCCGTTAAGCTGAAGTGCGAATTTATAAACTGGATTGCCATAAGTGTCATGGACCACGGAGGTATGGTTAATAGCATTCAAGGAATCAATGGCGGCTGAAAAATATTTATGTAGTTGCGTTGCTAATCTTATTCCCTTTTTACATTGCTGCTATTTTTTGACGCTTTAGACGTGGAGAGCGACCATACTATTGATTCATCCAAGCCACATGGAGGGATAGGCTTTGATGCATTTATGGATTCCAAGAAACACCAGTCCGAAAACATCTCTGAGTATGCGACGGAACATGTAGAGTGTCCCTTATCAATACTTTATTTTTATCACAAATTTATTTACTCCTTTATTTCGCGATAAAACTAGGGATATGGATTTGTTGATTGATATGATTGATCTCCGTCTGGCACAACAAGAAGGCAAACTTCAAGCAAGCTATGCAAATATCCAGAACGTATCACAGCAGATTGATATGTGTCTCGATAAGTTGAATAAATTGGATGATGGTGCTAAAGTGAGTACATTTGCAAGTCTTATATAATTGAATGCCGTGACTATGAATGAATAATCATTTTTACTGTACAATATGTGTATTAGAAATTGATGACCGCTATGCTACGAGCGATCGATAATCAAGAGATTCAGTTAGCCCTTAGGCCATCACCTTCCACTGGCAAGACGTTAGCCGAAACTGTAAGACGCGAAGCTCAAGGATGTTAACGAGAGAATTGTGCTCTGCACGAAGATCATGGGCCGCTGCACGCTTTAATGTAGGTCTCTCTTTTTTTTCCGAAGCTTCGCTTTATCTGCTCTATGCAGGACACTAACTGCTTTTTTTTTTTTTTTTTTTTTTTTTAAAAAAAAAAAAAAAAAAAAGCTGAATCGGCTTCGAGACGAAATCGGATTGGAACAGCGTTCAATTCGTCTGCTCCGTAAATACAAGATCATTATTGCAGCATTCATTTTGATTTTTTTCCTCTGGCTTCTATACTATTCACCGTCTTGACCTGCAGTTCTGTGTCATATGTGATAAATAAATTGTGGTACGCCAAGGAGAAAATAAATATTATCGCATTCAGATGAGTACCAAACTTTGAATGGCAACCAGGTTTGTATTATTACCATTGTTATTATTAACTGTATTACGTTCAAGGTGTGAGCATTATGGATAATAGAAGCGTTGTATATGAAGCAGCGCCATATAGTCTATGATAGGATGTATAATGCGTTCTCCTTCTCGTCCTCTTCCTTTCTTCTCCACTCGCTGCCTGTTTATCTTCGCATGGTATATAGGTAAGGCTTTTTTATTTTATTTTTCTTAAATAAGAGCGACCAAGAAGGCACCAGAGCTGATAAGAGCGACGCGGCCGAAGTTCAAGCTCTGGAAGGCGGCGACAGCAGCACTAGGCTTGCTGCTAGCGGAAGGGGAAGCACCTCCAGGGCCAGTGGTAGTTGTGGAATTGGAAAGAGTAATAACGGCTGCAGGGAAACCATCAGTCTTTCCGTTGGCGTCAGGGACGCTGGTCCAGTTGTTCCATTCGTTATTGACGCAATGCTGGTAGACCTTCCAGTAGAGAGGGCCTTCCTGAGTTGGTAACTTGAACTGCAATCCGAAATCTTCGTACATGTTATCTTGGGATTAGACCATTGGACCAGGTAATAGAACCAACGTGGTATTGATGGTGCCCGTAGGTGTGGTGATGGGGGTATCGAGAGGTACCATGGAAATGGTAGTATTCCAAGGATAGAGAGGGCGGGGCTTAACTGAGGAAACACCCTTGGGGATTTCGACAATGACCAGGTTTGTAGCATTACCATCACAACCATGAGGGACACGAAAACTAGTCTGAAAGTAGGACCCTGAGACAGCAGCTGAGGGTTGGCAGTAACATGGGCTTCGGCCAACGGGGGTGGCGAAGAGGATAGTTGAGATGGCAGCAGAGGCGACAGCAACGAACTTCATGGTTGAAAAAAACTGATGTGATGTATTACAGTAAAGAGATATAGAAGACGGATATATGACTGAGGAAGTGGTAGCAAAATGTGGCACGACAGTAAAGAAAGAGAAAGCGGGAGAGGGACCATTTTATACTGAATCTATTGACGATGATGCTTTTTGCGATAGTAAACTAATTCTTGCATCTTCATTCCTTATCTAGTGCTGATAACCTTGGGAAAAATATATTAGTGGCCTTGTTGCTTCTGGATTGGCTCAAGCTCTACAACAAGAGTTTCTAAAGTGCTACATGTATTTGTTTTTGAATGTATAGGGCAACGGAAAACAAATAGAAGGCACGTTGTTTGTTTGTGTCAACGTCAAAATTTGTGTACCTCAAAGGAGACAAGGATTTGTCTCTTTGTCAAACCTTAAATAATACATTTACTCAGTCTGTCAACTCTCTTTATCAACTTGACAAATATAAACTATTGACACGGCCATGGTAGTACCTGAAAGTCCTCCTCCTTCCTCTACCCCTGTCTGCCAAAATTGGCCCTATACTTTATTTTGTTGTTCGAGCAACTCTTATAACTGTCGTTAGTGAATTCATATCGATACGTCCATAAGAGACAGATCAATAACTTGAACAATAACACCAATAGATCTCCTTCACACAGCTGACCATACAGTAAAAAGAAATTTTAATCGATGCGGGGTTTACCATTAAGGATGTCATTTCATCAAAGGAAAGTAGAAAAAAGAAAAAACATCACAAAAAGCCTGTACATGTATGGGTTAAGGTACTGATGGGCGGTCGGTCCCGAGTCAGCGTTTTGACAGGTACATGAATATTCTTTTAAAGTTTGTCAAAAGTAAGTCAAAAATTAACCTATTGTGTTGTCTGGAAGATTCTTCCGCCATACAAGTACAAGTACATGTATAATATTTTTATGTGCATGTACACGAACATGCTTACTGACTCGGGATAGGTATTTGACTTCCTTGACATTGTACTTTAACATTCTTTATAGATTGCTCTCTGGCTTAATCAGATCTCCCTTGGTTTAATGGGCCATCTATCTAAAAAGTTAATAGAATTATCAGAGCTAAACAGGGAAATCCTTACAACAGATAGAAGGAAACATGCCATGATATATATATACATACGTGATAGGATGAACGACACTATTCAATTGCATATATCCCTAATAAAATCTAGAGGGTGTTTTAATCAATGGCCGTGTGATATCTTCGTGATATCTTCTCAAACAGTAAAGACAAAATGCGAGATGGCCTTGTAAAGAAATAAAATAAGTCAGTTCACTATGGATACGATGGATATACACAAATATATTCATTATACACGTGTCTTATTTCATCAATGATTGATCCATTTTAGTATCTAGTGCTAGAAGAAAGGAGTCATCTACGTTAATTTTGGCGAATACATTCATATTTTTACAGTTTTGTCATTGTTGTCAAAGGCTGTAAAAAAAAAGAAAAAATACTTTCCAAGCCTT